CGGAACAATGCTTTGGTTACATACAAAGAGGCTTGCAAACGTCAATTGGGTCAAGTTTTGCGTATTATCTTTCATCTCAAATGAACGAAAAATCAGGCAGGCTCAACCCCAACTTCGCTGTGTTAAGCGCGAAAGTTGTTGTGTTTAATAATTCTGGTTACAGTTCTTCAGTAGTAGTCTAAGATTCAATTACAGTTTTAAAAGCATTAGAAAAAGATACTGTGTATAAAATAAAAAATAAAATCCGTATATTTTTATAATCAAAAACTTGCTACTGAGATGAACTATATTGGTACAGATATTAAATTTTTGTGGAATATAGAGGCAAATATAAGTCTTATATATTAGCAAAATCTCAATATGTGACAGCTCATTGAAAAAGCTCGAGAATTCCAAATTCCTATTGTAGCACTTTTTATATATCATAAAAAATTGCTGAATGGTTTTAATTTGCTTCTTACAATTCTTCGAACAGAAACACTTTAGTGTCTCTTCGAGTAGAATAAAGAAAATTCAATTCCTGTGGGTCTTTCTGACCACTCGCTTATTACTGCTCACATTCAATTTAGCAAAACCGCTACCTCCACCGTCTTGTAAAAATAATTTCGTAACGTATGCCACTACTGACTTCTTTAATGTAAATTCAGTTTTATCCCAGTTAAACTGGCAATCTATTTTTCTTAATCACTCTGATCTATCGTCAATGTGGGACTCTTTTCTTTTTTTCAACGGCAGCTATACAGAAATCGACTGAAACCTTGGATTAACCTCTCAGCTGCCCATTTATTTCGACATAAGCGAAAGCTTTGGCGAAGATATAAACTTACTGGTTCCCTTGATGATTTTCTTGTTTACCAAAATTTTTCTAACCGAGTCAAACAATCTTTGCTAAAGTTAAGAACAGAATTTGAAGAATCTATCATTGCAAGTGGTAATAGTAAAAAAGTTTATCGGTACATTCGCACATATTTATCTTATAAAGTCTCCATAACATTACTTGATACATAACTACAAAAATCTGACGAGTCTGTATGTTCTTCGAATAACGAATCTTTGGAATGTTTATCGTTATTCTTTTCACAGGTTTTCACAGATGAACCTAACCATTCAATTCCTCAAATAATGTGCCCACGTTTGTCTAAAACTCTTGATATTATATCTTTTTCACCGGATGCAATTAAACTTCATTTATGGAAAATACGCAATAATTCATCACCTAGATTACACGGACTCACCTCCTTTTTCGTTAAACAAAGTGCAAGAATCTGTAACCATCCCTATATCACAATGAATGCTTCTTTTAATCAAGGTTCTCTCCCCTCGTCCTGGAAATTGGCTTCGGTTACTCCTGTAGAAAGAAAATAAACTTGATTGCAATAATTATCGTCCAATCAGCCTGGTTCCTATTGTCGGTAAGTTCATGGAATCGATTATTTCGGAAGCTATGTCTGAGTTTCTTCTTCAAGAAAATGTCATCCCTCACCAACAGCATGGCTTTATCAAAGGTCGTTCTACGATCACAAACTTACTTCTTTGTATAAATAATTGGTCATTATCTTTAAACAATCGGCATCCTTTCGATGTAGTGTACTTAGACTTCTCCAAAGCTTTCGACCGTGTTCCAGAACATCGATTATTAGCTAAATAGGATCAATATGGTATCCGCGGAAAGATAAACATTTGAATTTAACATTTTCTATCTGACAGATACTTCAGGGTTTGTGTTGGGGAAGACCACTCACTAGATAAGCTAATCAAGAGTGGAGTCTCACAAGGATCAGTACTTGGACCGCTACTTTTTTGTTTCTACACTAGTGATCTAGCGCTCATTGTATCCAGTAAGGTTTCCATTTACGCTGATGATACGAAATTATATGTGAATCCAACTATCAACTAACATGTTTTTCAACACGATCTTGTCTTTTCACGTCAAATTATGTTGCGGTTACTTATCTGTAAGATAGATGTAAAATTTATTTCGGAACACACCAATATTTAATTAATTCATAATAATGTTTTAATATCTTTTTTGATTATACAATTTGTGGTGCACAAATGAATTAAATTGTGTAAAGAAAAATTTAATAACGAATAAAAAAATAATACTTGTTTAATGATTCTTCTCAGGTTTTTCCATAACACTAAAATATTATATAAGGTATTATATTAGGGTTACCGTTTTGTAGTTGCTGCAATCTAGCGGAGTTCCTTTTTTGAATATAGGGATGAAAGTTGATGTTGTTCAGTGGTTGGGCCACTCTCCGGTTTCCCATATCTTTTTGCGGATCATATTCTCCAGTTTTTTTTTAACTTCTGCAGTGATCTGGTCTGAGCTAGGAGATTTTCTATTGTTTAACCTTTTGCTTGGTTTTTCTACCTCTGAATTTAAAATGTTTGGTTCTCTCTCTGCAGTGAACTCGTCGTGATTTGCATTCATTTGAAATCTAAATTGGTGGTAGTTCAGATTTCTCTCCTAGATGGCGTCGTTAGTTTACTGGATACAGGATAGCCCTATCTTACTCTTCTTCGTATTTGAAGCTCTTCAGAATTATCCCGGTAAAACCTGATGTTTACACGTTGAATCCAGTAAAGAATGGCTTTCATTTCGGTATGATTTACTCAATCAAAGGGCTTCTCAAAGTCAATAAAACACATGTAAACTAGATGGCCAACATTTTTGCATCTCTGTACCATACACGAATACTAAATAGTGCTGCTCTGGTTCCAAGGTTACTGCGGAACCCAAAATGCGTGTCACTAAGCTGTTCTTCTATTTTTTGGCTCATCAAGCTGACGGTTCGTTAGTCACTACATCTTTTCACAATTGCTTTTTTAGGATCGTCACAAATGTCTACAACAGTCAATCTGTTGGTATATAGCCAATTTCATAAATTTTATTAAAAAGATGAAGGAGAGATCTTTTACCTAAGGTTTCGAAAGCTTTATTATTTCATTCGATATTTTATCCGGTCCAATCGCTTTTCTGGTCTTTGCTAGTTTCATTAGTAATTCACTTCTAATTCTGGAAACAATTTTTATATTTATTTGAGGTAAATCACTTCATCCAAACATATATGTTCTGTCTGAGGAAGCTACGGTCCTTTAAACGAAATCGTTGTAACTAATAAATAGTTTGTACATTATTTGTTTATTGTTGTAATACATTTTTTAATCGCAATCATATACGCAGACGATACCGTATTGCTAGTAGATAGTACTCAGGGCCTCTAATGGATGATGGATAATGTTGTTGAAATATGTAGCAAATATGGCCTAAAACTAAATTGTAAGAGGACAAAATAATGATCATTAGTAAGAACACCAACACATTCTTGTTATAGTGCCTATCTGTTTCGGCGAACATCACGGCAATCTGTATTTTGAACACTGCTGCTCTGAAATGATTTGTGGCTATTGCGTGACCTAACCTAACCTAACCACGTACGTATATTTTTCAGCCAGGTAATCTTTCGCCTTCCTGGTCCTCGATTTTCTTCAACTTTTCCTTGAAGAATTAATTGCAGCAATCCAGATATTTCGCTGTTCCTCATGCTGTGACAGGTATTCGATTTTGGCTGTTTCTATTGTGGTTAACTCTAACATAAACGCGTAAATTACAATAAACGATACACTGTTAAAAAGAGTGGAGAAAATATTCTACCTGGGCTGCAATATTAAGGACACCTGGGATCATACATTTCCTATACCATCAGCTACGAAATAAAAACTCGTATTGAAAATGCCAGAAGTTCTTTTAACGGTCTTAGGAAGATTATGCGCAACTTATCTCTAATTATCAATATACGTATGTGAATTCTTAGATGCTATAACGATTAGAGGCGGTGATACGTGGTGCTACCGACGTATGTTAAGGGTCTAATATATACACCACACAACTAACATAACTATTTTCCAGAGGCTAAGAAAAGACAAAGACACTGTATGAGAACAGAAAATTGGCTTACTTCAGTTCGGCCACATTATGGATAATAGTAAATACTGACTTCTAAGTTGAATCTACAAGACACGATTGAAGGCAAGGGAGCCCTTGGACGTAGACGTGTATTCTGGCTGACCAATCTTAGGAAATAAACTTGTCCAATATCAACTGATCTCTTTGGGGTCACCAACATCACTACAAGATAGGCATCTTTAGAAGGATCATATATAGCTCCGTAGGGAAAAGTATTGGATATTTTTATGCATGTTTTTCTGTTTTCGAATTATTTTGAATAAAAACAAGAAAATTCTCAATAGCTTAAGAAGATTGACTACAATGTATTATATGAACAAATCTTCAATTCTTTTTATTTTAAGAGGCAACAAAAATATTATGATCTTTTAAATATCATTTAAATGGGCCAAATTAAAGGTCGGGGAGGACCAGGACACAAACGACGCTAATGGTTCTTAGACATAAGAACTGATGCGACATCAACACAATAAGAAAACAAATTTAACAGCAGGAAGAGTTCAGTAAAAATTTGTAAAATGGTAGTGCTCGGGTCTCGAAGTCTTTCATGAAGATACTGACAAATAGTGGTGAGAGCGGAGAGCTCAGATGGGCACTATTTATTCGTCTGTAGAATTGATTTTTTAAGATCAAATAATTGTCGATTCAATTGTCGCTGTTTTATTTTATTACACTTTGTTCCAAAATGAATCGTTTTAAAGTTATAAGCTAGGACAGTAAAAAAAAAGAATTTTAATCATTTTTAAATATTTAAATGTTTTTAGTAGTATTCCCGACTTATTTTAGAGAGAGGGAAAATCAATTAATATTATTATTGACGTTATCGCACAACTTTTTCTGCAAAATCAGAATGCTACCCCTCACATCTACTTCAAAGCAGATCCGCCCTGGTTTACTTTGTTTTAAGAAAATACTTTTATTGCCGTATTTCTTATGAACACTAAAATAATTTTATACGTCACCACCTTTTAGGAGAAAAAAGAAAAGCTCTCTTTAACTTTCCTTGAGATATTTTCTTTTGTTTCAGGTCTACGAGTCCCAACATCAAATTTTACAATAAACGACGTACGGATGTGCGTGGGTTCTCGGCGGGTGTTAGACGTTATGGATGTGAATACGCAAAAAAATAGTGAGATGACCATGAAAGAATGGCAAAAATATTACGAAGAACCCGAAAAAGACAAGCTTTTAAATGTGATATCTTTAGAATTTTCCCATACTAAGTTAGAAAATTATGTACAAAGTCCAACAGTAGTCAGGTAAGTAAGGGAATTACTTATTATTATTATTAATTAACGAAATTAAGAGAATCTTTTAAAAATAATTATAACAGATAGACAATACGAATTAATTTAAGAGTCATATAAAAATCATAAAAAATGCCTCTGTTATTAAGAAGAAAATACTTACTATAATAGAGTGAGAAATGGATTCGTTCCATTCTTCTCTGTATGACTCTCAGTGTATGCTCAGTTTAGTGACTCTTAGGCCGTTATTAGACTAGGCAACTGGTGGCGCCACCAAGTTGCTCCACTAGTTACTCAGTGCGTCACGGGGCATTTCAGTAAATGCGACCCATTAGACTACGGCAACTGGTTGCGCCACCAAAAATTGTTGTCGTTCTGGTGACCGATTTCAGCCACCAGACGGGTAACATGATCTGGTGGCGCCACCGAATTGGGGCATTATGTTATATGTACCCTATTAGACTAAAGCAACTAGTTGCGTCACCAATAGTTCATTTGTATATAATCGAATAATATTTTTTCTATATCCAAGCAAGAAATCAAAAATAATGTATTTTAATTTGTGTTTTGATAACTAGTTTTTATAATAGAAATCAAAAATATAAGTTATTTTTAACTAAAATTGTCGTTTACTGCCATTTAATATAGTAATTAATATAATAATATAAGTAATATAGCTGTGTTGGAATATAGTTAATAGTAATATAAATAATATTTATGTATGTATGTACATATTATTAGAGATAATTTTTAAATTTATAAAGACCTTTTTTTGTTGATATAAATATAGTCATAATTTAGGATTAAAAAGCTGACTATATTCACTTCAGTCTTTTAATTTTTTTGAAACTATGTCCTTTATAGGCATCGGAGACATGTTCTTCGTTTCTATTCTCTTCTATTAATTTCTCTTGGTCTTTCCAAAGTTCTTTTTTCTATTTATTTATGTCTATAATGTGTTTATTTATGTATGTATGTGTATGTTATAACGTTTTGTCTTATATTTATATTTATATATATATATATATATTTATATTTATATATATATATATATATATATATATAATATATATATATATATATATATATAATATATGTTAGTTTTGATATTTAAGCGGAGCTGTATGTTATATCAATGGTATTCCGGGTTTGACTCCGCGTTAAATGTTGTTGGTTTTGATAAAAACCATTTTCGACGACGTTTCGGCAAGATCTCACTTGCCATTTTCAAGTCTCTCTGGATGGTCTGCTTCTTGTCGATGTTCGAGTGGAAGTGACGCTACGGTATAAAAATAAAAACTAATAAAAATAAAAATAAAAATAAAAACATTTATTGCCCTAATAATATATACATGTCAACTTAAGATATTTTAGCCTTCTTTCTTCCTGATGTTCCGCTTTTGCACCATCTTCTTCTGATTTGATCTCCTTTCGGCATCCTGGACTTCTCTGGGTGGTTTCCTCGTCTTTTTCTGTAGGTACTTTTTATGGCATCGTACCTACTTCCCTGCTTGGCTGTTTTCCGGCAACCATCCGGCTAGACCCTGATCAGGTGGTCGATCAGTCTGTGGGTTTGTCTATGTATCCTCTGGATCCTGTTCTTCTCGAGGATATCCCTGGTCTTTTGGAGTCTTCTTGTGGCCTGGTGGAAGAAGTATCTTGTCCTGTTCTCAGCCACCTCCCTCAGTGGTGTGTACTGGAGCCTTTCTTTGATGGTTGCATTCGTGATTCTCTGTTCCCATGGTGAACCTTCGATTATCCGGTAACACGCTGTCTCTGTGGTTTCTAATTTCCTCCAGTGGGTCTCCGCTAGTGAACTCCATACTGGGACTGCATACAACATCACCGACCTCACGTAGGCCTGGTATAACTGGATTTTCTTGGCCTTCGATAGGGGGCTGGACCTGTGAACAAAAGGAAGTATCAATTTCTTAGCAATATTACCTTTTACCTTGGTTTTTTCTGCGTGAATCCTGAAGTTAAGCCTTCTATCGAGGTGGACTCCTAAATATTTGACTGAATCTGCTGCCTGTATTCTATTTCCTCCTACTGTTATCTCGTTCGGTGGTGGTCTCGTCTCTTGGGTGAACATGATGAATTGTGTCTTCTCCGCGTTGATTTTTATCTTCCATTTTTCAGTGTACTCTGTGATTTTTTCTAAGTGGTTTTCCATATTTCTTATAACTCTTCTGTCATCTTTTCCGGATGCATAAACCGCTGTGTCGTCTGCATATAGAGCTGTGGAAGTTCTATGATCTGTAGGTAAATCTGAAACAAATATATTGTAGAGTAATGGAGATAAGATGCTGCCCTGAGGCATTCCTTCCTGTATTTCTTGTATTGTTGACATCTTTTGGTCAGCTGAAATTTGAAAGGTTCTATTAGATAGGTATGTATCACATATGTTAATTAAATAATGTGGGAGTCTAGCTCTGTCCATTTTGAAGATAAGTGCCTTTTTCCAAACCGTGTCGTATGCCTTTTCTATATCCAATATAGCTAATCCTGTTTTTTGTTTCCTGTTGAACTTGATTTTCGTATCGCTGATTATTCTAGCCAGTTGTAGTTCGCAATTTCTTCCTCTTCTAAATCCGAACTGGTCTTCTTGGATAATTCTTCTTCTATCCGCATGTTTTGTCAGTCTCTTGAAGATTATTTTTTCAAGTATTTTTCCCATTGTTTCTAGGAGAGAAATAGGCCTATAGTTTTCCGGTCTTCTTCCGTCTTTCCTGGGTTTTAGGAGGGGAATAATTTTTGCGTGTTTCCAGTTGCTTGGAAAGTGTCCTTTTTCCAAGCAAAATTTGTAGATGTAGTAGAGTTGGACAATTATCTTCTTTGGAAGTTCCTTTAGTGTGATGTTGTGGATTCCTTCGTGTCCTGGGGCTCTGCTTCCTTTAAGTTTCCTGATGATTCTTCCTACTTCGTATGGGCTGGTGTAGTCTTCTTCTTCTATTTGGAATATGTTTCTTCTTTTTATTCTGTTGTATTCTTCTTCTACTTCTTGTCTTGTTCTTGCATCTGACATGTTTTGGTTTTGTCTATGCGTAGCTGCTAATCTTCTTGCTATTGCATCCACTTTTCCTTGTGTTTCGAAGTGAGTTCCTTCTTCGTCGATGATTTGTGGCATCTTTTGTTTCCCTCTTCTTTTGGCTTTCAGCATTTTCCAGACGTTTCCATGTTGTTCTTCAGCTTTCCTTATGTTGTTATGCCACTGGTTTTCAGTAAGACTCCTCAGTCTTACTCTTATTTCTTCTGATAGTGCGTCTCCATAGTCCTTGAATTCCTGTCTTCTTGTTCTTTGGAATGCTCTTCTGGCCTTATTTCTGTCCTTGATGATGTCCTGCAGTTCCGTAGGGATAATTAGTCCTTTGTTGTTCGTCATTGATTTTGGTACGTTGTCCTCCATGGCTTGTTGTATTTTTCTTGTTAGTTCTTCTATTTTTCCTTCGACTTCTTCTATGGATTGGAATTCTCTTTTCATCTCTATTTGATTAAGTTGTCTTCTATAATTTGGCCAATTTGCATCCTTCCATCTCCATCTTTCTACCGGTTCTATTGTTGGTAAGTCAATTCTTGAAGTCATCTTTCCTATCACTGGTTTGTGATCCGAACTGCATTCAAAGTAGGCTCTTACATCTTCTATAATGACGTCTTTTGTGATGAAAAAGTCCAACGTTGAGTTGTGTTGATCTCTCTGGGGTTGATTCTTGTGGGTTCGTCTGGAGCAAATATCATTTTGTTCCTGTCTTCTGTGTATCTTAGTAGAGCTATGCCGGGTCTTGTATTTGTATAGCATCCCCAGGCTTCATGTTTGGCGTTGAAATCCCCCGCTAAGACGACGGTTGGTGCTGAGTTAAGCATGGCATCTATTTCTTCAATTGCTAGAATCTCCGAATGTTTCCTGTAAATAGAGAAAATATTAGTGTTTCCGATTTTGACTCCTATATTTTCAAATTCGTTTGTGTCTACGGCTATTTGGTTCCATTCGATGTTATTTTTAACATAAATAGCCACTCCTCTTTTGTTTGGTTCGTCTCTTCTTCCGATTCCATCATAATTTGTTATTCTTGGCAGTTGTGTTGTCGTCATGTAGAGTGTTTCCGAGAGGCAGATGATGTCCGGATTGTGTCTTATCACTGTCTCCCGCAGTTCGTTGATTCTTAGCCGTAGTGAGGCTATGTTGTGTTGTAGTATCTTCAGATGTTTAATTGGCATTGTAGAGATCTTCATACTTCATAAATACCATTGCTTGTTCTGCAAAGGACTTCGCTGACATTAGTTCTCTCTTCATATCCTGTAGAAGTGCTACCATTTTTTCCACGTTGACGATCTTGTTGATCTCAGCCCATGAATTTTTGATGTCCTCTGATGTGGATCTCTGTTGTGGTTGTGATTGTGTTCCTTTTGCTGTTTGGGCATAGGAGACACCGCTGAGTGTAGTTCTGAACGCAGAAGGATGAGGTGGAGGCACTACTTTTGGTTGTGGTGCGTTCCTGTTTCTTCTGGCTGCCTGTTGGTCTAAGTACTCAATGTGTTTTGCACACATCGGGTAGTTAGATGTATGTTCACCTCCGCAGTTGCAACATAGGACCTTGTTTGATCTATCCTTGGGTAGTGGACAGTTTCTTGTAGGGTGGTTTGCCGCGCATTTCATGCATCTTGGCGTTCTGAAACAATTCCTCGCTGAGTGGCCGAAGTTTTGGCAGTTATAGCACTGCGTTGCCCTTGTTGGTTTGGAGTACGTGTCCCATCTGACACGTATATTTTGTAGACCGTTAATCTTCTTTACTTCCTTAAGATCCTGGGACTTGTCGACCTGTAGTAGATAGGATTTGCTGGACTTGCCTTCTTTGGTTGTCTTCATGTGTGTTACTTTGGCAACAATTCCTTGTTCCCTAAGTTCTGCCTCCACATCGTCGAGGTCCATTCCTGGGGCAGCTTTCATGACCAGTTTCTTGGTTACTTCTGATTTTCTCGTATATGTATGGAATGCCGTGTTTGTCTGTATGAAGTCATGCTTTAGTTTTTCGTAGTCTTGCATAGATTTGGTGAATATTCTTGTACCGGCTTTTCCTGCCGGTGCGATTTGGAATTCTCTGTGGCCTAGAAGTTGAGCTACATCCTTAATAAATGCAGAGTAGCTACTAATTTGTCCAGCGATGACTAATGGAGGGATCCTTTCCTTCTTTTCCTTAATGTTTCTTTCTTCAGTTGGAACCGTTTCCAACACTTGGTACCTATTTTTTGTTACAACTCCGGATCCGGTTCCGGAGCTTGTTGTCGGTTTTGGTCTGTTATCCTCATTAGAATTCCTTCTATTCCTTTTCACTGGCTGAAAAGGTTCTTCCTCCATTATTTCAATAGTATTCTCAGCCATTATGCTGTTGTCTTCCTGATTTTTGTTCGTATTTTCGTCTAAGTTATTTTGTAACTTCGAATCCTGGGCGGGACCACCTCTCCTTGAGGTGGGCCTATTTCTCCTGGATTTAAATAGGCTTCTATGAAGTGGGAAATCTTTCCTAAAAGGGTTAGAACCTGAAATTATTTTAGTTAATTTGTTAGTAAATTCTGATTTATCAAGAGAATTAGTCTTGACAAAGACTAAATCACTGATATCCTTATTTTTCTCTACATGAAAAATTTCAGCCAACGTCAACCGTTCAGTTGACCGCCGACCGGATTTGGTTGGGCTAAATGTTTGCCGTCAGTCGCTGGGACCTTAGCGTGTAAGAAGTTCGTAGCTGGTTTAGACTGTGATCCTAGACACGTCTGCACAGTAGCAAGTCTCACCGTCTAATTGAGCTGACGCTACGGGTGTTAGGCAGCTGGCTTTTGTAGTTACTGTGCGTTGCGCGCGCTCTTGTAATTGGTCCAGTGCGCAGGTCAGTGGGCGGAGTCTTGGTCGATTCCGTTCTTGCGTTATTCTTCGGGATAATTGGTTTCCATGTTTTTGGCAATCTTTGGGCATCGTCTCGAGAATTTAAATTATATATATATATATATATATATATATATATAATATATATATATATATATATATATATATATATAGATATATATATACATTATATATATATATATATATATATATATATATATATTTATATATGATCTGGTCTATAAATGTTTCCTTGGTCTTCTCTTTCTACTTTTAAGATACCTTTCGATTACATTACCTACTTTGTTATTTTCCTTTGGCCAATTCTATTCATCAGTATCTGTTTAGTTTCGTTTTTTAAATTTTTGATACTAGCAATACCTATTTTAGGTCACCTCAGATTTGCCTTTAGCGGATTGCCTATTATTATATTGTTGACCCATGTTTCAGTTATTTTTTAGTAAACTACATTTTTAACATTCAAATATAGACATTGTTTTTTTTTAGAATTAAAGAAAGCTGAAGAACTCTAGCACATTAAATTCTAAAAACATTGCAAGCCACTACCATTTTTTTCGTGAATTGGAATATATTTGTATTCCATGTACTTGGAGTACATTAAACATGACGTATGTCATATGTAATGTACTCCAAGAGCTCAAAAAATGACAATTTAACATTCGAAAATACGGAAAAAAATTTTAGTTCGTCCACATAAAGTTCAGGAAATAACATGTAATAACCATAATAATGTAATGTATATAACGTATAATAACATATACATTATATGTATATAAATTTTCCGACTCCTTACTCTCACTTTCTTTTTTAATAAAAGGGCAAGAAGAAATAACGAATTGTTTGATATCATTTTCTTACATAAACAATATTAACTATTCACTACTAAACGTATTAATTTTTGCTGGTGGCAATTATCGGCCACCAGTTGCCCATAATTTTTTGTGCGTTAATTTGGTGGCGCCACTAGTTGCGCCACCAGTTGTGCCACCAGTTACCTAGTCTAATACCGGCCTTAGGCAAGAAATTTCATAATCTAACGCATCTCTTCAGTGAGAGAAATTGTCAACAGTACGTACCGATAGGAAGCTGGGAATTTGATCGATGCCACACAAATCTTAAGACACTCTTCATATATATTTGCTTATCCATTGTTTTTAATTGTATCAAATTCTCAACTTTTCTGGTCGTCAATTTGTTTATTATTGATTCATTACAGACAAATAGACTGGGTAGACTGCGTATGGCCTAGGCATTTGAAAGAAAGCCAAGTAGAAGCTACAAACGTATTAGAAGAAATGAAATATCCTAAAGTTCAAAAATACTGCCTTATGTCTGTCAAAGGCTGTTACACAGATTTCCACGTAGACTTCGGAGGGACATCCGTATGGTATCATATTCTAAAAGGTAAGAAAAATCGGTTATTGATGGATTTGTTTAAATTGTAAAAATATCTCTACTATTATTAGACTAGGGAAAATAAGATTTCTCTAGGGACTGACTAACCAGATATCTGACAATTTTTTTAGTTATTATAGGCCTATATAAAGAAAACCTATTATGTTTTCCACATAAATTTTCGGCGTCATTTTTTAATTGATTTTTTGCTTACCATTGAAAAGCTTAATATTTGAGGTAAAATTACAAAACTTTATCTTTTAAAACATAAAAAAGCTGTAAAATGGCGATTTTAAAAGTTGTAAAATTAATTTGTTGCTTCAAAAAGTGCAAAATAAGGCAAAAACATTATTTTCCCGCAAATCGCCAGGAAATTTTGACATTCCTGTCAAAATTTCTTGAAGAAAAAGTCAGGACTTCCTTACTGTAAGGAAATGATATTTCCGTACAGTTGTTAGTGTTCTACATAAATTGTCAAGTTTGACAATTCAACCTCAATACGTTTCCATAGTAACCCAAGTAATTTTATTAGGAATTTCAAAGCACCATTTATTTGGGAATAAAATTATCGCGTTTTTTTTTAAATCAATCAATATCTGTCGAATTTTAAACGATTTGCGGAAAAATAGTATGTTTACCTCGTAGGAAAAGCCACATTCCTGGACTCTGTGTTGCTAAGTCTCGGCTTGCGCCTCGACTTAGCAATCTTCACAGTCGTCCAGGAATGTTAACTTTTCCTACCCGGTAAACAATGTACTATTGTTTATAGCTATTGTAAAAAGGCATTTGTTATTCCACCCCAAGTTGGATATTGTGGTCTTTAATAAACCCTCAAAATTTCAGATCGATCCATTAGTTAGTTTAAAAGTTATTCTATTTGTTATCCCAGAGACCTTTTTTTTTTGCAGTCACATTATAGTTAGAAAATAATGGACATACAGTAATTATACGCATACCAAATGAAAGTTTAAGAGTTAATCTACCAATATATACCAAAAAAAGTGAAAATAAATAATTTTTTACAACGCAAAACCTTTTGTAAAATTAGGGTTATTTTTTATTTTAAACATTTAGAATAACTTTTAAAACTATTGCCCGAAAATATAATCATTTTTTATATTCGAAAAGCTAACATTTTTACACGAATTTAAAAAAAGAAGTTGTTCTACGATAATTTGGGGCAATGTTAGTATTTTTTTTTAATTCACAGCTAATTTGTTTATAACAATTAAGGAACACCATTTTTGGGCATTTGAAAGAAAGGACTGGTAGTTTTTGTACAGAAAGTTGTACAAACATTGCACTATAACAGGATCCTCTGTGAATTGTCAAAAATATGGTTCGAATTAAGACTAATAGTGGCGAGTGGAGGGAAAACCCACAAATCTACACGTTCAAAAAATGAAAACTCATCTTCAAACTAATACAATTGTTTATATCTTCGGATCTACTCAACAGATTTTAATCTTTTTTTTTTTTTTTAATTTATACAGGGTGAGTCTCAACGGGACGGAGCCTACCGGGGAAATGGCTAAAGATATTAAAAATTCCTTTTGTAGGAATACGTAGGTCAGTACCGGCTACAAATTAAAATTTGTGAGATATATACAGGGTGTCCCAATTTGGCGTAATGATATAAACTTATACTTTTTTAAATGGAATAACCTATATTTCACTTTAATTTTGAATTCTACTGAACAAAATAATGTTACTTTATTCAACATTCCCTATACCTATTTTTGACCGGTTTCGATTTATTTGGGTTTTTCTGAAAATGTACTATTCGCGAAATTAATTAATTACACAATATCGCATCAATTATAATTAACGCCTTTTTGTCAATTAATTTTCAAGTGTCCATGCTTTACATCAGAATAATTACCAATTGAAATTAATCTACAGAGTGTTCGCAATACGAAGTGTCAATGCTGTATAATAGTTTGTGTAATTACTTTCTTAACTTAAATGGTACACCCTGTATTTTACTTTAATTTTGAATTCTAATCAAAAAAATAATATTACTTTATTAAACAATCCCTATACCTATCCTTTATAATTTTCGATTAATTTGGGTTTTTTTGAAAATGCACTATTCTTGAAATTAATTAATTACACTTTATTACATAAAGTTAAACAAAACACACTAGAAAAAAATTAATTTACATTAAATGTTCAAAATGGTGTCCATTTTCTTCAATACATAACCTCACTCTGTGTTCAAAATTTTGTTTTACTCTTCTTAGCATTTCTGGAGTAACTGTTGCAAACGCATTACGAATACGCGTTTTCATGTCTTCAGCGGTTGTAGGTGGAGTTTGATAAACCAAACTTTTAATATATCCCCAAAAAAAAAGTCCATTGATGTTAACCCAGGTGATCTAGGGGGCCAATTGACAGCACCACCCCTACCTATCCACTTTCCGGGAAATTTTCTGTCTAAATATTCTCTAACGTTACGCGTGTAATGTGCTGGAGCACCGTCTAGCTGCAGAAACATTGTTCTTCTAATATTTAAAGGGATATTTTGCAAAAGTATCCAAAAGTCTCTTCGTAGAAATCTTAAAAACTTTTGTCCATTTAAATGGCCATTAAAAAAATACGGTCCTATCACATGTTCTCCTATTATTCCACCATATACATTAAGGGACCATCGGTTTTGTCGATCAGTACATCTATATTCATGTTGATTTTCCGTATTATAATAGTGAAAGTTATGTCGGTTCACGAGTCCATTATTATGGAAAGTAGATTCATCAGTGAACAAAATTTTATCAAAAAAATGTTGATCTGCTCCCGTTTTGTCTAGAAACCATAAACAAAATTCTAACCTACGTTCAAAATCAGTTCCATACAAATGCTGATGCATTTGAATATGGTATGGGTGATATTGATATTTTTTAAGAATTCTGCATATACTAGTTTGGCTTACTTCAATCTCCCTGGCCATCGTCCTTGTACTTGTATTTGGATTTTCAATAACTGATTGAATAACTTCTAATTCGGTATTTTCATCTTCAGTTATCGGATTTATTAATTTTCGTTTAGTATAAACAACACTGCCAGTTTCACGAAACCTTGTTAAGACTCTGTCAAATACTTCTTTACGAGGATGACGTTTTAAGGGAAATCTCTCAGCATAGACTCTTGATGCTAACAAACTGTTTTGATCACATTCACCCAGTATTAAAATCATATTTACTCGGTCTTCAATTGAATAATCTGCCATTTCTATTTAATTGAAAGCAATACAGTTAATAGTTTGACAATTAGTTTGACAGCTAGGTACCTTTTGTTTTTTCATGGCATTCTTTATAATAACGAGCTATGTAATTAATGACATTTAATGTTCCAGGTAACATAATGCAAATAGATTTGAAGATACTAGATATTAATATAAAATTTTATAATAGTTTGATTATAATAATTGTTACAACATTCAAATACAGGGTTTTTGTTTAAGTTAGAGTAGAACTTTATGTAATAAAGTGATAAAAATTAATTAATTTCAAGAATACATAGTGCATTTTCAAAAAAACGCAAATAAATCGAAAATTCTCAAAGATAGGTATAGGGATTGTTTAATAAAGTAATATTATTTTTTTAATTAGAATTCAAAATTAAAGTAAAATACAGGGTGTCCCATTTAAGTTAAGAAAGTAATTATACAAAATATGGTACAGCATTGACACTTCAGATTGCGAACACTCTGTAGATTAGTTTCAAATGGTAATTATTCTGATGTAAAGCATGGACACTTGACAATTAACTGACAAAAAGGCGTTAATTAAAATTCATGCGATATTGTGTAATTAATTAATTTCGCGAATAGTACATTTTCAGAAAAACCCAAATAAATCGAAACCGGTCAAAAATAGGTATAGGGAATGTTGAATAAAGTAACATTATTTTGTTCAGTAGAATTCAAAATTAAAGTGAAATATATGTTGTTCCATTTAAAAAAGTATAAGTTTATATCATTACGCCAAATTGGGACACCCTGTATATATCTCACAAATTTTAATTTGTAGCCGGTACTAACCTACGTATTCCTGCAAAAGAAATTTTTAATATCTTTAGCCGTTTCCCCGGTAGGCTCCGTCCCGTTGAGCGTGACTCACCCTGTATATCTCCCTCTAACTTGCATCGATCATCTATTGTTCTTTAGTATTGGCCAGCGTTAGCGTTTTTTATTAGATACTCTAACATATCTGTTATCACCTTCGCTTTCCATCGATACCTTGCACGTTAAGCCGTTCAGACGTTACCCTTTCAGTGCCCTTTTAGCAATGCCCCCATCTTTGTTTTTTGTGTTAACGTATTCGTTACCCCCTCCCTTTTCCGAGGATACCTCACACCTCACATCCACCACAAAAAGATCAAAAAATTACCAGAATCGACCTTAGTGATTTCTGATGGGACTTTACATGGGAAGATAGCGCGTACTCTCATAACCCTTTTACTTCAGTATACAGTGGGTGATCAAATTATTATGATCAGTCACAAAAGTTTACGTTTTTCAAATTTGTTCAAAAATTTTATAATAAAATCATATGCTGTTATACGATTAAGGTATGCCAATATATTTTGTCACTAATAACCTTAGTTTTTCGACGTTTACAGCTCTAGAACTGTCATTTGTGTCAAATTACGTGACAACGTAGACATTGCGGTAAATTTGCGTTTGGAGTTTACAACTTAATTTGTGTTTTTGAATTGTTTTTGAAAGATTAGTATTGTTTTATCTTTGTAGTAGGTTTTATTAATGTATTAGTGATAATTGTGAGTGAAAAAAACTATCAGTTTTAATTTTAAAGACATTTTCAAAACATTTAGATTTTTGAGAAGAAAATCATAATGCGTAAGGCTAAAGACGTCCCTGTGTCTAAAATAGTGGAGATAAAGACACTTTTATTAAATACAAAGATTTCCCAACCTCAGACAGCCCAACAATGCTAAGTAGCGCAAGCAACAGTAAGCAATTTCAAGAAAAAAATTGATACCAACAAACC